AAGTTGGCTTAACTTAGCCTGTAAGCCATTAGTTTCATTCCAAAGTTAGCATAAACCATAACTACCATTTCCAAATGCCTATCTACCAAGAATTACATCATGCTAAAGAGAGTCTACAACTATGACTATCAATTTTATGTGTTAAAGGACAAGTAAAATAAACAAAATGCAAAAAATAATTAGCACAAAATAAACAATTCTAAACCTAAAACCTCATCATTTACCAATATTACAAGTTCTTGTCATTTTGAAGTCTGTTTGTATTTTATATATAAATTTTAATAAACTTAAATTTGAAAGTTAAACTTGTTTATGAAAGTACGAAAAATTAATAATATTTTTTAAGTATAAAAATAATATTTAATCTTATACATAGTGATTGATTGTCTATTAAACTTTTAGTATAATTATATGATTTTATATATATATATATATATATATATATATATATATATATATATATATATATATATATATATATGAACATAAAAAGATAAAAATAATAAGTATATGAGTATTTATGAAAGTTACGAAACTTATTGTAAAACTTTATAGGGATGGAGGAAAAGTTTGTATGTTTAGACAGAAGGAAAAAAATTGTAGAGAAAGTTTAAAATTTTGAGGTTTGATTGTGGATTTTAACTATTTCTATTTGTAAGAAAAAAAATCTATAGAAATTCTAATATGATAGTCTTAAAAAAATGGAAATAAACAAAAATGAAATAAATAAATGAGTTTTTCCCAAAATGGTCCCTCGACTATTTCGCAGAGTATATTAGGCGTATAATAGTTAAACAGACGAAATTACCCTTCATTTTAACACTTAGTAGACGAAATTTCTAACGGAGGACCAATTTGGGGGGGTTTTTAAAAGTCAAGGGACCACATTGGGTGCAATTAAAAGTCGAAATGCAAAATTGAGAATGTGCGATAGTCGAGGGACCATTTTGAGAAAAAAAACTCGTTTATAATTATAAAACTCTATATCCATAATTTTTGTACTTCATATTCACAATTAATGAACTCTATAGTCACAATTAATGAACTCTATATTCACAATTACAGAACTCTTTGTTCATAATTACTGAACTCTATGTTCATAATTTTTGAACTCCATATTCACAGTTATTGAATTCTATGTTCATAATTATAAAACTCTATGTTCATAATTTTTGAACTGTATATTCACAATTATGACAGTTTTGAAATCATATCCACCTTGCAAGGTGGATACGGTTCCACAACATAATTTGCCTCAGACTACATCTATTGAGCTGATGGGGTCCAATATGAGAGCAAATATATTGGACCCAAGAAATAAATTTGAGTACATGTCATATGGGTTCGTGATGATGTAAAAGAAAAATCTTAATATGAGAATGTTATGACTGGTTTGATTTGTTTGATAACTATGTGCCCTATTTCTTGTCATATTTTTGGATCTATACATACTAATTGATTATTATATTCCTTATTTTTAAAAATTGAAAATGTATAATTATTCATGTCTCATTGTTGATTATTATTATTATTATTATTATTTTATATATATATATATATATATATATATATATATATATATATATATATATATATATATATATATATATATATATATATATATATGTTGTGATGGTTAAGTACTTAAATGTGTTGATATTATATGTGATTGCATAATAATAATACATTAGGGTCGTTTGATTCTTCTGGACTTCCTTGTTTGATCAAATTATTAACAGCATTTCCTTGAACCCTAATAATAGGACGTCCAAAGTTACGTACTTTGGACGCCTATTATTTGGACGGGTTAATAATAGGCGTCCACAGTTCTATAACTTTGGACGGCTATTATTTTGCACTTTGGACAGGTTAACAATAGGCGTCCAAATTAAAGTTCTAAAACTTTGGACGTCTATTCTTTTTAATTTAAAAAATAAATAAAAACAAATCATATAGTAACATTTTAATTATAAAAATGTCACCGTCCTACACTTTAGGCGTCCAAAGTTCAAACTTTGGACGCATATTCTTAGATTTTTTTTTTTGATCTTTTTTGTACTACGCCCAATTAAACTTTATTACTTCTTTTATCAATAAATTAATTAATTAATACTAAGAAAAATTTTAGCGAGAAAGTTGAAGATGACGATTTTACTTTTATTAATAGTATAGATATATAGATGAATTGATATTCATATTAGTTTGGGCAGAAAAGTTGAAGAAGATGATTTTATTTTTACTAATAGTATAGATAGATTTTTCATAATATTAAGTTTGGTATTCGTATATAAAATTTATATATTTAGAAACTACACTAAAAGTACTATTTTACACACAATAAAAATAAAAAATAATTAAAAATACTAAAAGAAATAAGTAAAGAAAAAAGAGTTAATTTGACCTATAAATAATCAATAAGACGTGAGATAGATGGAGTAAATAAATAAAATTTATCAATAATAAAATAAAGAAAATGTTTGACTTCCAAAAGTTTTTCCTAATATTATTTCATAATGTGAATTATAATTGTTGAGTGTCGTAAATTGGCTTACCACACATTTTTAATTATACACTAAAGTAACTAATGGATATATAGTGTTACACTGTTACGTTTAGAGGAGAATTAAAGAGAGAAATTTTAGGGTGAATGTTTAGCATGGCAAATTAATGTGGGATTGTAGACCACGTTCTAAAACGACGTTGTTTTGATGTTTAAAAAAATTATTTCCTCTGCGCGCGTGTTAGAATAATGAATATTTTGGGTAAAATATTGTAGTTTATGTGTTAGAATAATGTACTTTATATGTGTTAGAATAATAAAATTTTGGGGGTAAGATAATGTATTTTATGAGATAGAGTAATATACTTTGTGTTAAAATAATGTATTTTAATTTATGAGTTAAAATCATGTATATTGTACTTTATGTGTTAGAATAATGAAATTTCTAGGGTAAGATAATATATTTTATGGGTTGAAATAATGTATACTTTATGTGTTAAAATAATATATTTTTATGAATTAGAATAATGTACTTTATATGCTTTTGGACCATGTTTTACATAGCTCCACGCAATAATAATTGGTTTAGCATTACTACAAAATAAGGCCTTAATAAATTTAATAAAAATAAACTCAATCATTATTACATGGACCATGGTCCACACAGTTGTGTGGATCATAAATAAAAAGTATATTTTTAATATACTAATGATACATTATTTATGTACATAAGGTACATTTTTTGAAAGTACATTTTTAATATACAAAGGGTACTTAATGTACGTAAGGTATATAATGTAACTTCAATACAAAAATAATGTACCTACAATATAAAATAATGTTTTTTAATATATTAAAAATATATTTGATATTCATGGTCCACACAATAATTTGCCAAATAAACTATAATGGGTCAAAAAATATTTTTAAGTTGTCAATATTAAGCTAGGGCTCGAGCCCAATATATTGTGATGGAGCCTTATCTCTTAGATTGTTTCCTATTCCTATTTTTAGAAAGAGTATCCTATTCCTATTAGTAATAGACTAATATTATTCCCTTTAAAAAAAAAAAAAAGACTAATATTATTCTATATATATTCACGAAAGAGTATCTTATTCCTATTAGTAATAGACTAATATTATTCTATATATATTCACGAATGAGTAGAGTATTTTATTATTGTTTTCTTCTTCCAAATATAACACACACGTATTCTAAATCCGTGAGCGAGTTTTCTATCTATTCTGCTAGACATGGAGGACGATTACACGCACGTGGGTCCTTTGTATTTCATCATTATAGTGGTAGGCGTTTGTTTGTGGTATGCATGTTCGTGTTGGTGTCCCGTCAACACGCCACCTCGAACTGCGTCGTCGCAGCCGCACAACAGACTGGCGAGAAGGAGCACCGGCGGCAACAACGTTAATGTGGAAGCACAAGTAGTCCCAGAAGTAAGGTTAAATATTAAAAGCTTCGAAGAAGGGAGCGTAAAGGGAGAGGAAAGAGAGAATGAATGTGTTATTTGTATCACCGGTTTTCAGAAAGGAGGCATCTCCACCGTTCTATCATGCAACCATAAATTTCATTCAGATTGCATTGCTATTTGGTTGGTACTTCATCAAACTTGCCCCATATGTAGAGCTAGTACTGTCCAGCCTGTTTAATAATCTCTAACGATTACCCTGTTTCTTGTACTTTTTTTGTCATCTTTTTTCAATACATACTAATCAAGATTCTTGATTCCTTATTTTAAAAAATTAGAAATGTATTAGGGTGTCTTTGGTTTGGTTCATGGGTTTACACATTAGGAATGAGAATCAAAATTATAGTATTTTTTTTTTTTTTGAATGCCAAAATTATAGTATTTAGTTGACAACTTTTTAAGAAATTTGACTACCCTTCAATTAAAAATCTCATTCCTAATTAAAAAGGGGTATTATTCCATCTTATTGGTAATCTAATTTTTAAATACGGATTAGTACTTTAGATTTTTGTTTTGATTTTTTTGTCCATATTGATACTTTTAATGTCATTATATTTGGATCAATTACCTTGATTTTTTATTTTTGTATTTTTAAAACATTTATTCCCATTATATACACAACTAAACATCAATATTGGTAATCATTCCAATTTCACCCTACTACCAAACATTCAAAAATATTGTCACCAAAACACATTACCATTACCAAGTATTCAATTTTCATTCCAATTTTAATTCTCATGTGCAAACCAAATAAACCCTAATTATTCCTTTCTCATTGTTGATTATGTTGCAATGGTTAAATGTGTTGATAATATATTTGATTGCATAATACATTATGGTTAAATGTGTTGGATGATGTTAATATATTGTTGAATATGTTGGACTTGTTTTAAATTGATACTTATCTGAGGCTATCTTAGGATCATTGTCCGTGAGACTGATCGGATCAAGATGAAATTTGTAAGAGATTAACATATGTGAAGCAAATAAAAATAGATTTGTGATTGTAGTAATTGGCGTAAAATTTGGAGTAATACAATTATATGGATATGGTGAATACATTGATCTCTTATGCCAATTTATAAATCTACGTACTGTAAGTCCAGCAGCACATTGATTGGTGTTGTTACATAGAAGAAGAAATAGCAGACACAAACTCCTTAATGTTCTTGTCGGAGCTTCCACCTTCATCAACAGCTTCTTTAGCCAATTGCTTCCACTTGGCAGCATTCTCTTTGAGCATAACCCCTCTCTCCCCCTTCATCACTTCTACCAAACACCTCTCTACTTCTTCTCTAGTGACCATTCCATTTTCGCCAGCCATAACCCGGATCCCTACGTCCCAAACATCAACTAGATACTTTGCGTTGGTGGGCTGGTCAGTCCACTGCGGCATGGCCACCACAGGGACTCCGAGGCTCAGTGCCTCCAACGTTGAGTTCCACCCACAGTGAGTAATGAAGCACCCCACAGCCTGGTGGGACAAGACATCTAGCTGTGGACACCAGTTTGTGATTATGCCCGCTCCTGATTTGTCAGGCCAGAAATTGCTTGGGAGTTTGCTCTGCTCAGAGGACCGGACCACCCATAGGAATTTGCATTTGCTTTGGATCAAGCCCTGCGCAACTTCACACATTTGCTCGTCCTTCAAGTTGGCTAAGCTCCCGAAAGATACATACACAACTGAACCAGTTTCCTGGGAGTCGAGCCACTCCATGCAGTCATTATTGTTTGGCTTGAAAAGACTCAGGCCATAGTTATCATCGTCTCTTACTCGCTTGTCTAGGTACATTGATGGAAGTAGTGGCCCGATAGCAATGACTTTGAGTGGAAATTGGCTAGCCATCCACTCCAGTACCTAAGAGAATCAAGCAAGTACTTGTTAACCATAAACTAAACCAGCGTTCTTGTTTAGTGGCCAGGTAAAATGATCAATCCACCAAAACCAACTACAATTGAGTTCAACAGTTTAAAGAACAAGATATCATCATGTCCAAATGAGTTTGAGAGCAGTCATTTTTATCCACTACCAAAGTTAAGCAATCTCCCTTTTGGATTTGGCAGTTTTAGAAAGATGAATGCCAAGGAACACTTGGCTTAAAGGCTAGGGTCTAGGGGAGGCCTGTAGGTCAACATTTGATCCCAACTACGATATTTTGGGAATATAGTATATAGGTCCCTCTTTTTTAAGTTTTAAATAAACTGCTTCAATGGGATAAAAATGAACACTTGAGGTGGGCTACACAGAACAGCAATTTCATTTTCAAGATAAAACTGTTGCAATAATCTAAAATATCTAAGCAGAGAGATAGGCATACCTCCTTTTCCAATTCATCGAAAGTGTTGAACAAGAGCCAGTCTGCTTTCTGCGTATTCAAATTTCTGCTCAAAACGAACCGCAGTAGGGAAGAATAGGAGCTCTTATTGCGAACAAAAGATGGGAGATCATTCAACCCCAATGGTGGCATTGAAGGCAGTGACACGGTTGATCCTTCAGTTGGAGCAGTCAAGTTCTCCTGATCAGTATGATGGTATACTGCGAAAACAGCACATGATTGGCTGTTAAATGCAGCTGCTCTCAGGCCTAGCTGGTGCACTAAGTCAGCCACCCATGGCATGATTGAGTCGTATACCACGGTGGTCAACAAACACCCAGAACCGGTGACTTTAGACATGATCTCAGCCAAGTTATTGGAGACTAAGTCCTTGAGCCAGTCAGAAATGGCATCAAAGCCAGAATCTGGTTTCACACCATCGGGGATAGACTCAACCCTGATTAGGCTTGAACTTACCTGTATGCATGCACTAGTTGATGTTGGGGTAATGACTGTCACCCCAACTCCTCTTGAGGCTAAACGCTTTGAGAGTTGAACCATTGGGGTTATGTGACCATGTATAGGGTAAGGAATGACCAGAACATGACTTACAGTAGACATTTCGGCCATCTCTGGTCTTTCTACCCCTCTCAACTTCCAAAACTTGAATTGACAGTCACAGTTTCTATGTTTCAAATGTAAAACTGTTATCACTTATCAAGCAACGGTATGCTAATAATCTTGAGTATATTTGCAAAAGTAATTGTCAAAAAATTGAGGTTGGGCTCAACCAAAGTTGTACATTTTGAATTACATTGAAAGTATATAGTCTCAATTTGTGAAAACAGCTTAAATAACTGCTTGCTAAAGATAAACATTGTCCAACTTAATCTTCATTGAACTCAATATGACCTTGTCACTAAATGGCCTTTATAAGAATAGTTTTAAACCTATTCTAATAAATTGATTTTAAAAACTCAGAAAACTAAGCTTAAAAAACTTTTTTCAAGGGCCATAAACACTTCTCCACAAGCCTATTCAAACATGATAAACAACAGCTCAAGTGTTTATGTAGTAATTAAGTTTTACATTAGTTCTTGATATCCACCCAAATGAATGGGTAGTTTACTCATACAATAAACGGAATGAATGCAAGAATGGAAATTAGGCAAAAAAAAAAAAAAAAGAAGGAAGAACGGGAATCAGGAAAATCAGAATGCACAGATCAGGGAAAGAGTTTAAGTTAAGGGATTAGACAAGAATAAATCAAAAACGCAATTATCTCCTTTTCTATATTTATTTATTTCTTTGCACTATAAATTGGAATCTCTAGATGAGAGGAAGGCATCCAATCTTTTATCCTTAGTCTTCAAGCTTTAGTAGCTGGGCAAGAGCCTAAAACTCTTGTTGGGGAAAGTTATAGTGACAATCCTATTTTTTTATTTCAGTTTACAGTCAATAAAAAGGAACTTCCTTGTTCTTTTCTCTAACAGTTCTCATCCAAATCATTCAGGCTAAACCATTCTAGACCCATACAAGCACCACATTATAATCATGAATTCTACATATCTTATTAACACAAAAATACTGCCACAAAAATAAATTTGGGAAAATGCTGAAAAAACTCTGGCAGATTATCCCATAAATAGAACACCAAATAAGGAACTCAGTCCTCAAGACTTTGCCAAATTCAACAGGGCATTCAAGGCTCATGCAGTAGATAGCAAGCAATGAGAAAATTCTTCTCAGCTCCCTAACCTTTTTATTAGTCAAGTTTACGAGTGGTTTACACTTTACAAGTAAAAAAGGCAAGCAACACCTTGTAAAGGAGTGCTCGGTGAACCAAGGAAAACATTTCACATCACATTACTAACACACAATGGCTCCAAATTAACTATAAGTACCAAGGAATTCACTTTGCGGTGCTCTTTTTTACTTCTAATGCACAGCAACTTATAAATATTAACCAAGGAATCCTCTTCATGGTGCTCAGTTTTACTCCTAGCACAGAAATGGCTTATAAATAATAACCAGGGAATCCACTTCACAAATTTGAACTTCTTACTAACGCACAACAGATTACATTTATATATAACAGATTAACAAAGAAAAAAGAGAATGGTGCTGTTAGATTTATATATTGGTTTTTACGGTGGACTTTCATTGATAGTTATGGAATTGTTAGGCTTTCTTTAGATCTGAATTTGGAGAACTAATAATTAACTAGTGTTAGCCTGTAAAGTTGCATAAACATATTATAACCCATAAACCTCAGTATTTCACACAAAAGAAATTAGTCATTACAACACAGTGGGAGATGAATACTTATATTTCAAAGATAACCCAAACCCATATAAAATCTCACTTCACAACATAAAGAATAATTAATTAATGAAGAAAAGATAAACTAGTAAACCTAAGCCAGACCAATTAAAATTGGAATAAAGTAAATGGTTCAAAGTAAATTACACTTCAGTTTCAGTCTAATTTTAAATTTTGTATGGCTTAGAATCCAATTTTAAATTAGTATGGCTTAAAAATTGCATATATTCAAGAAGCAATAGAAGTCCAATGGGATCACTGATACAACAAAATAAACCCATATAGTAAATTCCAATTTCAATTCAAAAAATGTAAATAACTAAAAAATGAAAACCCAAACAAAGATCATCAACAGAAAACAACACTAAGATTGCATGGTTTATCCTGTTGAAACATTTGCAGAAATAATATGATGTTTTAACCAGAAAAATGAGCCAAAAGTATAATGAAAACTCTTACAAAAAAAAAAAAAAAAAACAATTTCTCTTGAGCGGTGCTAGGTTGCCCAGTCCACAGAAAAGAAGAGTTTGGGTAAAGTTTTTTTCTCTTTTTACAAAAAAATTAGGTGATCTCAATTTTGCTAAACTAGAGCTACTACAGAGAGGGGAAATCAAATCAATTTTAATATACAAATTGGAATTGAAGTCCTTTGCTAGCAGAAATCAAGTCGATCCAAGCTACAGAGAGAGAAGGGGAAATCAAATCACCTTGTTATATAGCTCGTAGACTCAGAAGGTTATCGGCAACTTCAACTTCACGTGGTCGCCAACGTCGTAGACTCGCAGCATTCTCTGACCTAGCCGTATATATTGAGTAGCACTTTCCACTGAATTTCACTTTCATCTCTACCAAATAAAAAAAAAAAAAAAAAAAAAAAAAAAAGGAAAACAGAATAACATTAAAAAAAAATTTTAAAAAAAAATCTTTTTGGCTCTCATCCCCTCTTTCTGGGAGAGCATTCATTCAGAAGATCTGAGATCGATCGGGAAGGACGGAGATCCTGTGGTAATGTTCGCATATAATTGGAATTTATCTCAGCATTTTTACACATATTGCTCAGATTTTTTTTAAAAAAAATTAAAAATGTTTTAGGATTTAAATGTATGGAATATTATTACTTTGTAAACATTTTATTAAATTTTATTGTACCAATATTTTGAATTAAAAGTATATTTTAAGAAAATAAGTATTAAATCTTATCTTATATTATCTTACTTCTTACTCTATATAATAACAAAATATTTTTGCCACATCATTTTCCCGCCTAAATAATAAGGCATCGTTTGGACTGTTATTAATTTTCATATTTATGAACACATTGGATGACTTCTATTGCAACTTCCCATGTGTATTAATTGTTTTAACATTTGTTCAAATTTATTATTAGAACCTTTGGAATCCGCACAGCCGCGAGAATGACTTATCATGCGTGATTATTTTTAGATCTGTGAATCCGTTGGATGACTACTATTGCAACTTTCAATGTGTATTAATTGTTTTAACATTTGTTCGAATTTATTATTATAACCTTTGGAATTCGCACAGCCACATGAATTGTTTATCATATGTACTGTGATCATTTTGAAAAAAAAAAAAAATAGTATAATAACATTGATTCAAGATATATAGATACCAGAATAACATACACACGTATTCAATGAATTGGCATATATAAAATAAAAATAAAAAATGTAATAATATAGTCAGTTTTTTCCAATACTAATTGCATAATATGTATAGTCCCACTTTTGAAATGCCCCTTGAAAATTGTTCAATATTCTAATCAAATTAATAACAAAGCATTAATGGAGAGGCACAATTGCTACTCAAAAAAATAGTTTAAATATGCACTAATACGAGAGTGTTCTTCACCCTTGAAACTTTCTGCAAAAATGCTTTTCCAATACTGTCTTGCATCTCAGGTTAGCCCTATGCACACCCGGAGAGCAATCCGGGTGCGCTTGGTGAGAACTTATAAAGTCCCTGAATTACGTGGAGGAGCAGCAACAAGCCAGAGCAAAGAATGCCTCTTCCATGTTGAAGAGGTAAGTTTAATACACTTGGCAGATCAAATGCATCACTAATGTTTAACTTTATTTTTAACCTAATCTATTATCTTTTTTCTATTAAATTCTTTGTTTTCTATTTCTATGTGTTACAGCAAGGCTTGCAGCCTTACATGACAACCTGGGCTAGGGCTGGACTGAAGATTCAAGACATGACAACCCAAGGAGGATTGACGAATTGGATCTTTTTTTTTTTTTTTTTTTTTTTTTTTTTTTTTTTTTTTGTATAACTTTCATTGTTTGTAAAACTTTACATGAATACTTTTGTAGTTTCAAGCTATTCTGTAAATTTATTCTACACTTAACAACTACACAACTGTTCAAGGGATTCTATTGTACGGAAATAAATTAAAGCATAACACTTAGCATCAACACAAACTTTTCAAGTAATGAATTCTATTCTACTCAAATAAATTAAAGCATAACACTTAAACTCAGTATTCATAAACTCATTCAAGTATAGAATCCAATACTAACAAGTAGAGTCATAACACACTTAAACCTTTTTTACTTCTAAAATAATTAAAGTTAAAAAAAAAATTAAAATTTAGTGTAGCTTATTGTTTAGAAAATAAAAATAAAAAAAAATTAACATGACTACACTATAATCAAACAGTTTTTCCTTTGACTAAATTTCCTTTGACTAAAGGAACTTTTATAAAAGTCTACAAAGAGTTTTTTGATTCAAATAAATAATTTGAAACAAATATTTCTAAACTAATTGTTTAGGCTTTAAAAAAATAATTTAAATTTTTTTGGCACAAAGCAAAATTTTATGACTGAGATTAATAGTGAAACTGTAAATTGAATAAGTAAAACAAAAACAAAAAACAAAAAAAAAAAAAAAACAAAAATAAACTTTGCAGTAAGAAAATGTCATAATTCTAGGGTCTGCCTGCACTGAAATATATATGTAGAGTCTGCTTGCCTGCACTGAAATATATATGTATTCAAGAGGTATGTTCTGAACTTGCATGTAGATCCTTGAATTCATTGCTCATTGAATTGAAATTGTAAATCTCAAATCCATGCCTGACCAGGTCGAAATCCAGATCTGTTATTTTTTATCGAGACTCTATATCGTGATTATTATCGCCATTAATGATACAAAATCGTGATATAAGCTATCATAAATCCAAAATGGAAATTTTAGTGGAAGAAATTAGGATAGAAGCAAGTGTTGGACAGAGTAGATCAGAGATCCGCATATCGCCATTGTCGAGAGAGAATATGAAGGGTCGGATTGCTTTGGAAAGTTCTAGGGTTAGATAGGTTTATATATCAGGATTATTGTGTTGGGTTTTGGGTCATGAATAGTAGACTACATTGGGCCTGAAATATTATTTGATATCAGTTTTCAATTTTTGGGCCTAACAAATTATATAATCTAAATAGTAGGCATCAATATATATATATATATATATATATATATATATATATATATATATATATAATTCACAATCTTATTTAATTATTATTATATCTTATCTTATATATAATTATATAATGATATATTTAACATTATATAATATTCTAAAATATTAATATGTTATTGTGAGAATATTAACATACTTAAATGATACAAGGTTTATTGTTACAAAGTTGACTGATCATGTTTTGGAAGCTCAAATCATGTGTGGAACGAGTGTAGGAACAAAAGTTTTAATTCCTCGAATGTCGTTAACACCTTTTGATTCAAGATTTTTGTTTCAAGTTCCAAAGAAAGCAATTCCTTTAGATACTATCATATGTCATGACAATAAATAAAAGTTAATGGCAAACATTATCACACGTGGATTTGTTTTTTAGAAAGCCAATCTTTAATTATGGTGTATCATTTGCAGTATCAAGAGTTAGTAATCCTAGGGGATTAAAAATTTTGATGTGGAAATAATGTACCATTTGTAAGTACGACTAAAAATGTCGTATGCAAATTAAAGAAGTTTTCAATAATGTGTAATACAATTACAATGTTCTTCGTTTTTTAATAATTAATTCATATACTATTATAGTTTTTTTTTTATCAGTACTGTTGACGGTAATAATGTTACCGGAAATATAATATAAGAGTAACGAACAAGAAAGTAACAATAGTTGTATTGCCTTTTGTCTCAGTATAGAAAGTACAGTGTGTCCCCTGCTCAGCTGAGGGAAGTTCTATTTATGCTAGGTCCTAACGGTAACAACATGAAGAGACATCCTTGGGGAGCTGAGCTAACGGCAAGAATATCAAGAGTCATGAATGAGGCGTTGAGGCTTTAACTCTCTCTCATCAATGGTGACATCAAAGGTGGCTTCAATGACAATAAAGGTGACACCTGTTGGAATTCTAACCGTTGGAGTTCTGCCCGTTGGGTTCCCATGTGATGCTGAGTCAGATGCTCATTTGTGATCCGGGTCGGGTGCCAGCCCTATTATCGTGTCACCAGTCCCCCCTACTCCTGAGTCAACGGATGTGTTTGAGTTGACTTGGGAGTAAGGCTGAATCTATCTTGATCCTGTGTAGAATCCTGCTTGATTTAGGATATGTGATTTTATTTGATCCTGTGTATGTGATTTTATATATATATATATATATATATATATATATATATATATATATATATATATATATATATATATATATATATATATATATATATATATATATATATATATATATATATATATATTTTAATCACATATGATTTTATTTTATTTCTTATGCTAGCCGAGATAGGCTTTGGCCTAGGTTGGCAGAGGTGCGTGCCTCCGGCCGAGGCGTCGCCTCGACTGATCGTGGCCGAGGCGTGCGCCTCGGCTGACCGTGGCCGAGGCGTCGCCTCGACCGATCGCGGCCGAGGCGTCGCCTCGACCGACTGCGGCCGAGGCGTCGCCTCGACCGATCGTGGCCGAGGCGTGCGCTTCGGCTGATCGCGGCCGAGGCGTAGCCTCAACCGATCGTGGCTGGGGCAAGCTCCGGCCTATTTTTATTATATTTTTTATTTTATTTTATTTTATTTTTTATTTTTTTTTTTGCCGAGACGGACTTCGGCGTTGGCCGAGGCAACTGTGTCAGACTGTGGCCGAGGCAGGTGCCTCGGCCATCCGAGTCGAGTCACGTCTCGGCCAACCTGTGGCCGGGGCGTGCGACTCGTTCTTTTTTTTTTTTTTTTTTTAAACAACATGGGCAGACCACAAGCACGAGATATTATTCCAAAAGATTTCAGAATGCAAAGCGGGCGGACCGCGATTACCAAACACTAGTCCCAAACGACTACTAGAATATTAAGGAAAATACTTAATCAAATGTTCCTAGCTCTATACCCGATCGATTATCCTTACAGATGGTGTGGACTTATGGATCATTTCTGTCAATCTTTTTGAATGCTTTTACGTAACAACTGCGGGCTACTCGCTGGTCTCCTTTGACGACTCCTATCCCATTCGGAGTATGGAACTTCATACACAAGTGTTCCACCGACACTATGGCCTTGAGGTCCTCTAGTGCCGGCCTTCCCAATATGATGTTGTGCGCACAAGCGAGTCTTACCACGATGAATTCTACGTCAAGTTTCCGAATGTTAGGGTTCGTGCCTATCTCCACTGGTAAGACCACTGACCCCTCTGTCTCTACTGAATCACCCGTAAATCCAGAGAGTGGGGTACGTACTTCTTTGAACTGGTTCCTAGGTATCCCTAACTTGGTGAAGGCACCGTAATACATCACATTGATTGAGCTTCCTGTGTCGATTAAGATGCGGTGGACCATGACATCGTTGACGTCCATCTTAATCACCAGGGCGTCACGATGGGGTAACGGGCCCTCTGGGAGGTCATCATCAGAGAAGGTGATGGCCTCCTGTCTCTGTTTCTTTTCTCTCGGAAGACTCACCACTTCTCCCACGTATAGCTGCCGGCTCCACTTCTTTCTTTCCGCGGGCGTGTCGCCCCCTGCGGGTCCACCATAGATAAAGTGTATGGTGTGCTTCTTTTGTCGTCTGGGCGCCACCTCGATTTCTTTCTCACTATCATTCTGCTCAGATATTTGGTCGTATTCTCTTTTTTTTTGCGTTCGTGGTGGACGGCTCTGTGCCATCCTCATTCCTCCAGACATTTTTTGGTGGATTGTGTTGCGGCTGTTGCTGCTGCTTGGATCGCTTGACGAAATGTCGGAAGTAGCCCTGTTGGATGAGTTCTTCTATTTGTCTCTTCAAAACGTGACACTCATCCGTATCGTGGCCGGTTTGCCTATGGAACCTGCAGTACTTTGTTTGGTCCGCCTTCGGGGAGACCTTCATGCACTCCTCGGGGAATTCTACCATTCCCGTCTCCTCAGCTTGCTTTAGAATGACACTGACGGGATGGGTAAGAGGAGTTAGATTACGCAAGGGAACCAGGCAAGGTCGTTCGTGGTCTCGGCCTTTCCCTGCGATCGGGTGGTTCGAGAGTGGTGCCTGGCTGGGCGGACCCGCTTTCCCAGGCTTCCCACCTTTCCTTTCATCCTCTTTGTCCTTCTTCTTCCTGTCGACGTCCTCTGCTTCGGCATAGCGACTAGCCGTCCTTATCAGATCTTCGTAAGAGCGGGGGTGGTGGGCGTTCAACTGCTTGTGGAAATACCCTGATCTTAAGGCATGGATAAATATCGGGATCGCCGCCTTGGAGTCGATGTCGTAGACATTATTGACTTCCTTTTTCCATTTTATCAGGAAGTCTTCGAGGCTCTCGCCTCTATCTTGCTTCACTACACAGAGGTGAGAGAAGGGTTTCTTACGTTGTATGCTACCGGAGAAGTATGTCAGGAAGCTCTTGGACAACTCCCCAAAGTTTTGGATCGACCCATCAGGGATGGTGTTGAACCAGTCTTGGGCCGCTCCATCCAGGGTGGACAAGAACGCTCGGCACATGATGGCGTCCCCTGCCCCGATCATTACCATAGCAGCCTTGTACCTCGTCATGTGGACGCGTGGGTCAGTGACCCCCGTGTACTCCTTGATGGC